AGGCAAAGGCTCGGTTGCCACGGAATCCGCCCGTGAGGTCTCGTTCTGCTGCCAGGTTGTCCAGGTACGTTTGGAGGGTGAGTCGTTCGTAGAAAATCACGTCACGTGCTGCTACTGTTTCCTTCAAGTGGACGTCGAAGATTTTCCACGCATTGTAATGTTTTTTTATGCCCAGGTGTAGCCCCCACTGTACGCGTTGTAAGAATCGGCCAGCTCGTGCAGTGTGGGGTCGGTACTGTACCATGCAACCAAAAACCCGTAACATTTTTGTGTTGCCCGATTTTCCTGTCCACAGCAGATGCGGTGATGCGTTGTTCGTAAATGAGGATGACGAAAGCAAGTTGTGTAGCAGTACAGCGTGGTCCATCGCCTCGGGCCATTGATGGTTGGGTAGTCGCATGCCACGTAGCAGCTTGCCCATGGTGTTCTGGAGGGTCGTGTTCATCCTTTCTGCGACACCTTGCTGTTGATGGGCGTAGGGAAGAGAGATGAGTTGCTTGATGCCTCTCTCCGTCATGTATTGCTTGAACCTCTGTGACTGGTATTCTCCTCCCCCGTCTGACTGAAAACTCTTTAGTTTTACTCCGGACTCCATTTCCGCTACTGGGAGCCATGTGACGAAGGCTTCGAAGGCCATATCGCGGCTTGGTAGGTTGAGGTGCCAGACGTATTTGGTCGCAGCGTCGATGAATGTTCTCACGTAGTTGTAGTCTCCTTGTCCGCTTTTGCGAGTGTACAGTATGTCATTGTAAACCTTCTCTAGTGGTGTGCATGCTGGCGCGCTCGGGTTGTGGTGAGAAACGAACGGTTGATGGGGTAAGTCAGCTTCGGGGCAAGTAAAGCAGGTTCCACGGACTCGTTGAAGTTCTCTGCAGCCTGGTAAGAGTAGCGAGTCCTTTTCAAGAACTCCTGCTCTTATCGTGTTGTTCAGTGTCGTGTTGCTGGGATGTCCTAACCTTTGATGCCACAGTGATTCGTCGGCGCGATGTCCAGGTGAACGTCTGTACAGATCGGAGTTTGAGTAAAAGCGTGCGATGACGTTGGCGCTTCTGTGGACGTCGCGTGGAGCGGGAGTCAGCTGTTGAACGGGAGTGGGTGTGGTGTCGTCAATGGGAGGTGGTGCTGATGAAGGGCCGGCAATTGGTGCTGGTGCTGTTGTTTCTGTTGTTGCTTCTGCTTCTATGGATGCTGCTGCTGCTGCTGTTGTCTTTGATTCTGCTGGTGTTGCTGCTACTTCTGTTGTCTGTTGTATCACTGCTAACGCCCTTGTCCGTTCTACTTCAGGTATCGTGTGTGGATATCAGAAGCCTTCGGGACTGAAGTCGGGGTCGAGATCCGGCGGGTGTGTCCAGGTGGTGAAGTTGACGATCGCGTCGCTGTCAGCAGTGCCTTGATCTGAGACGAAGTCGAGGACGAAGACGTTCTTCAGAACCGCCTTCCCGATGTAAAGTCCGCCCTTCTCGTGGTACAGCTTGAACTCTTGAGTGGTGCTGTCGGCTTCGAGGTGAATCCCCCTTGCCATGAGCTGGCTGATGTTGAGTCAGTTGTACCCGAGTCGTTATGCAATCAGAACTTTTGACATCTCCAGGATGACGTTAGTTTTGCGGGACTGTAGCTGAACCATTCCTTGTCGTCGTGTGCGTAGGTTCTGATTGTTGGCGACTGTTATCACGACTTCACGGTTGAGACGTTGTTCCCATTGAACAAAGCGGTTTGAAGAGCACATATGTTGACCGCAGCAGCTGTTTAAGAACCAAGTGTCTTGGCCAGACAGCTCGCTCTGAGTGATGGCCGCGTATGTCGGATTTGGTTCCAGCGATTCGCGACGAGGTATGCGTTCGTTGAGCAATTCTTCTGGTGAGTAAGTTGGTGGTGAGCCTGTGATGCAGGAGTCCGTTCTTGTCATGCAGCTTATGATGTTTCTTGTTCCTCGTGCAGGTTGTGACGTTCTCGTTGAAGACTGCGCCTGGTTCGAGGGATGTGGCTGTGTGGAGGCCACTTGACTACTTGAAGGTCGAAGTTGACGTGGTGGTGGCGTTGGTTGCTGTTGATTCGAGCATTGAACGTGACAATGTCCTGACGTTCGGCAGAGGTGACAGAACGGTGGTACGTATCTCCGTGCTTGATGTTCGTGTTGTCGGTTGTTGTTGTTGCGCCACTGGGTGTGGAAGGCAAACTTTGGTACTGATGTCCTTTTCTTGTGTCGTTCTTCGTGCAGGTCCATATCTTGTTGCTCGGCATGAATTTCTGCAGAGAGGTTTGCTTCTTAGAGTCTTCTGTGGGCTCGGAGGATGGCCCGGGTGGAGCGCCACTGAGGACCAAGGCCTGCGATGACGAGAGTGATGAAGGCGTCTTTGGATAGTGCTCCGCCACACCGAAGGAGTCTGTCTCGTAGACCACGGCAGCGACTGATATAAGCCATTCTCTTTTCAGCGGGTTGCATTTGGACTGTTGTCAATTGCGCCATGAGACGACTCTGATTCACGCTGTCGTTTGCTTGATACAGCTTCTTCAGATGGTTGTACGCGAGCTCGGCGGAGTTACCGTATCAGCGATAAGTTCGAATGTTCTGCTGCTCGTTTGCCGTGAAGTTTCGGAGGAGAATAGTGTACGCCATCAGTGACTGATACGTGTACTGTTGCTTGTCGTACTGTGTCCCATGCGTTGGATATGGCAGGGAGCCGTCGAAGAAGCCAAGGACTTCTATACCTGGTCCTTAGCGCCTTCCATCATCAGCTCGAATTCGATGGACCAGGTATAGAAGTCCTTCTCGTCGAATGGTGTTGACATTTGCACTTTCAGCACGTGTGCGAATTGTGACTGCAGTTGAAGTGCATCCAGTGTCTTCGTCTCTTGTCCAGGTGGAAGCCGATTTGGCATGAAGCTGACAGAGCCGCGTTGGGGCTCATACGGTGCAAAGGTAGGCTGCTGGTTTCCGCGCAAAAAGGAGGAGCCATCGAGGCTCATAGGAGTAACTCTGTTGTTGTTGTCGCTGTTGTTTGATTGCGCAGGTGCCGCTTGCTGTTGTTGTTCGTAGAAGGACATGAAGGAGAAGAATTGCTCCATCATGCTTGGGTCGAAGCTGGTTGCTTGGTTTACAGGTGCTTCAGTGGATTCAGCAGCTGGTCGCTAAGTTGAACCTCCTTCAGTCTGTAGTCCAGAGACTAGAGGTGGAGTAGGGGTAGTGCCAGGAGATCCAGTGGATGAACTCCTTTCCTTTTGTGTTGCCATGTCTTCTGTTGTTGTAGGTAATAGAGATAGCTGAGACTTGTCCTTGCTAGCTCTCATACCATGTTGGGCTGAGAAAAGCCCTTAGCATCGTTTTCAAGGACTCAGGCTCGAAGTGATGTATGAGCGGAAGCGTTTGATGAAGGCTCGTTGAACCACCTTGCACTAGTGTATGAGAACAAGATAAGCTGATTATAGCAAAGAGATACAGGGCTTTATACGATTACAAGGAATATGAAAAATTTAACTAACTGCTGCTGTTGCGGTTCGATACAGCGACAACTCGGGTAACTGCTCGATAACGAGTCAGTTATTTGTCCTTACTGTCGCGCTGCCTTTATCGAGTCAAAGGTTGCTGACCTTTGACCTTCGCTTCAACCTCCTGCTGTTGTCGCCTTGTCAACCTCTTCGCTATGGCTTGGTTGATTCGGTGTTGCTTCGCTGTGAGTCTGCTTCGTTCTTGTTATAGCGTTCGACACAACAGAAGCGCAAACTATATGTTTCCAACAACAAGGAAAGATAATACCTAGTACCATACTCAAGAGGACCCAAATACTATTATATCCCCATTACAGTATTATTGCAGCATAGTTACAGATGTGGTGCTGCACATTTGGGACCAAAAATCAATCATCCTATGCGTGCGCGCGCATTGTATGCTCTTTCGTAGCCAGGCTAGCAAGCTGACACACAGAAAAACAAGTCAGCATTAATTTTGAATGGAAATGCCAATCATTTTTCTTCTTCTTTGTAATCAGACGTTGCTGTAGTTCGTTGAAGTTCTGACTGGAAGGATTTGTCCTTAGGGCGGGAATATATGGCTCTGCTTTACCTCAAACATAATCTTACGCATTCAAGTTAGACCTAAAATTCATTATCCGATCATTCTCTACCGCGTATAGAAGACTCGAGCCAAGGATAATGCCAGGATTGCAATTTCGCCTGACGTGTGCAGGTTGTGCCACGTGTTGTCCTTTTTGCATTTACGTACGTGAGGTCGAAAAAACTCTTATGGCACTACACTACATTTGTGCACACAATTCACACCCACCCTTTATCGTACAGTACAAATCGTCCTCCCACTTGCATTACGGTATGTTTCCCCTTTGTTTGGCGGCAGGAAATATCTGTTCGCAATTGACCCAGCCCAGTATGAGAGGGCTAGCCTACACGCTCAAAACAAACCCCCTTTCATATTACTGTATTACGTCAAAGGTGTTTTCACGATAATATTCGTTGTTTAGATGTGCTCTTTCCTCCAAGTCCATGGGCAGAATGGATGCGGAAATGAACGAAGTGAAACCTTTTCCGACTTTGGTGGTGACAATCCGATGTAGGCAAAAAACCAGTGTCTACTCTACCAAAAGTTTGCCGAGCATGTACGTTTCCTCTCGGAATCCCGATTTATCGTTTTCCTGGATGATATTACGGCTTGTATTTACCCTTCTGGGATAAATGTTTTGCACTTCTCAGCTGATACGTACGTACACCATCCGACATTTTTGTTTTCAAGATTTCCTTCATATTTGCAGATATATATTATCGTTCTGTCGGAAACCCGTTTGTGAGGAAACATACAATGGCAAATTTTGGTGGCAATGGCAAGGCAACCAGAACGACAAATTCTGTCACCAGCATTTTTGAGTGCGTGCTAATTGCTGCCCTGATTCCCTCGCATCGCTTGTCTTTCTGTACGCGTTTGTGTCCTGCATAACACATCACATTCATCCTCCTCTCTCCGTCAGCAGCAACCATAAGCACATGGACCCGATATGACTGAGGTTAGGGAACAGCGGCACCAGTTCCTCGGAGGAAATTAAAGCTCAAGTATACATTTGTCAGTGAGGTTCAGGGTTTTACATTGTGCCTCACAGTTTTGGGGCAACTTTTCAAGTTCCTAAGGATTTTGAACCCCTACATTCAAATGTATACCGGAGATCCTTAGGTGATTCGTCAAGTCGAGAACGATCATCACCGAGCCGATTCAACGCACAACGCGGCTGGTGCTACTACTCCATCCGCCGCCGCACGAGCACCGCCGCGCTCGCGCCCCACCCTGAAATGCAGCTCGTTGGGCAGCACGGCCGCGTCGACTGTCCCTCAATCCCGCCGACCGCAGCATTACGACACGTGGCACGGCGATTCGCTCGATCGCGTCCCGATTCCGACTCGAAAGGTGCACACCGTCGAATCGCCGGTCACATCTCGCGCGTCGCATCGTTTTTCGCCGCGAGAATCGCGGCGACTGCAGCTTCACCCAGCAGCGGAAGGCCCTGGTGGACAGCGCGCCGAGCCTTACAGTCATTACCCTTCACCGCGCTCGTCCGGCGGAACCGCCGCGGTTCACGCACCGAAGAGCCGGTCAGACCCTCACTTCGCCGCTGTCGACAAGCGCCCCGTGCTCCACGCGCCGCAGCGGCAGCCTTCAGGCGACCTGGGGGCGAGAGGGCCGACGAGGACGCTGAGCCGTCAGATTCGGCTCGCGCCAGATGACTCACCACGTGTCGCCCGTTCGGATGATGACCTGGGCGAGCCGTTTGTGACGCGGAACCACCACGCGTCGCCCGTTGATCACAGCCGTCAGCGTTGCGACGGGCGCGGCCCTGCTGGGTCGGGTGGCAGCTACGATGATTTCCCTGCATGCTCGACCGTGGGAAGGGCGGAAAGGGCGGAAAGAGCGGAAAGGGAAAGGCGTTCCGCTGTGGCGGAAGCCTGCTCCCCGTTCGACGCCTCCTCGTCCCCCACATCCCCTTCCGCCGCCTCTCCCCGCTTCCCCTGCTCCATCCCCTCGCCTCGGCACAACCCGATGACATCGCCTGCTGCCTATCAGCAATCGCCACGTCAGCTACTAGCGTCAACCTCTGTGGGCAGCGGTTCGCCTGCGCCTGCCAGGGGGGAGAGGAGGGGCGGCGACGGCCGACACAGGAGCAGCCAGCAGCACAGTTCCTGCGACTCGTGGGACAACAGCGAGCTGATCTACGACCACGACGACCCAATGCTGCAAATATCACCTTCCCCTTGGTCTCAGAGGGATTTCTCCGGCCGCCAGCACGCAGAGTTCCAGTCAGACTCGGAGGAGGAAGAGGACTGCCGTGGCGCTGACGGCGGCGGGACTCGCCGCGCCCTGTCTCGGTGGCGCTCTCACTCTCTCGCAGAAGATGCCATTGAGGAGGACCCCACTGCGCACCGCGTGCACACTCTCGACCGCCGCCCTGCGCCGTCCCAGTCGCTCCCTGACTGCCGCCTCCCCCGGCGCTCGTGTGACGAGCGCAGCATGCGACACGCACTTGTGGATACGAATGGGGGTACGGGTGTAGATGTGCGGAGATCGGGGGAGAAGATTGGTGCGGGAGAGAATGCACGGTGGAAGGGGGAAGACTCCTCGGAGAGTGGAGACGAGGTCGTAGAGGCAATGGGAGAGCGGCAGAGGGATGTGCAGGAGGCTGGTTTGGAGCGTGGAGAGAACGAGAGGCGTGGCCCAACACTGAAGAAAATGCAGGGTGGGATGGACAGTCACCAGACCCGAGATGCTGTCTGTGATTTGTCGGAGGACAGCAAGCAACAGTCCAGGCCAGCGGGAAGAAATGAAGGCCACACACCGTGTCGTGATGCTGCTGCTGGGGGGGTTAAGGGCTGTGAAAGCAGGGAAGTTCCCAAGAGCAAGCCCAAGAGCAAACTGCAGAGATCACTGAGCGACGACGATGAGGAAGACGAACGAGCAGAAAAAGAGGTAAGAGCAAGGGAGGAGGCACGAGCTAAGCTTCAGAAACAGAGGCGCGATTCCATACGCTTAGTCAAGCAGCCCGTGAAGAGGGTTCTTCCACGGAAGGTGTCTAAGTGATGGTGCTGTTGAAGATGGTGTGGTTAACGAAAGCAGGAAATATAGGAGGTGCGATGTTCCTGGTGAAGATTCAAAGGAGCTAAGGAGGGTTGACTCAAAGGCAGCAATAATTGAGAGAGATCAGAGAACACACAAGGCTGTTGAGTATATGGATTGTAATTTTCCGAATATGAGTGTCTACATATCATTGCAACTTCACTCTGTTACGGGCCGTTTGAAAAAACTGTACCGTTGCTGTGACAATGAAGGCTCCCAGCGTGGAAGCCATGGGTGCTTTGCGTCAGGAAGCGTGGCAGACGACGCAAGGCGGTTGCCGAACCGACCACACCAGACCAGAGCCTCTGGCGTGGAGATGGTGGGGCCGACCAGGCGAGGCAAGTGGGGCAACATACTGTATCTCGGTCAGAATGAAATTGGAAGGTCATCAAATGTTTCAAAAACTCTTTAAAATACACTGTCCAGAAAAAAGACTCCTCCTGTCCAGTCACCACCGCGCGCCTTTTCCCTTCAAGGATTCGTTGTCATTCGCGACAAGTTGTCAGCCAAGAATGTGCGTTCACGTGCCATTCTCGCCAGGCCACCCATTTTCTCTCTTTTGTGGCTGCAGAAGTCACTCGTTTGTGCGGCCAACTTCGATTAGACGATCGCCGCTCGTCTGTTTGAGAGTTTGGTTGTTGTGTGTGGCTGGTTGGCGATGTCACTGGGACCGATTTAGGTCAGGTGCAGCCGTCGTCCGTGCGGGATGTGGCCAATCTGGCAGGCTCCATCAATTGGCTGAGTTCGCTTCACGCATAGTGGTGGTACTGTACAGTGCGTATAGTATATACCACACTGAGACGGCTCCCGGAGCCGTTCAGGTGAACAGATACCCGTGACTCCTGAAGGCACTGTTTGGTACGGATTCACAACGTTTGAAGCTGGCGGTGGTAGTACGGCCACATACTAATGAGACGGCTGCTCGAGCCGCCGTTCACCCGTGATGGTGGTATCTGTCCCATATTAGTCACTTGAAGGCTCTGTTTGGGACCGGTTCACAACATTAAAGTTGACGATGGTATCTACCACATACTAATGAGACGGCTGCTCCCCGAGCCGCCTCGGGCTGGGTTCCTGTACAGCACGCTCGGCGGAAAATTTCCCCCCATCAGCGGAGTCCTCCCGCTGCGGACCCCTCCAAGGCTGGGTTAAGTTAGGTTTTGCTGGCGGCGGCCTGGGGCCTCCGGCGCGAGAGAGATGCGCATCATGTTTCCTCGTTTTGGTGTAACCTTTCCGCGGCCTCGCAAGTATTCAGCTTCCGCGGAAGTTCCGCGTCCTCATTCCTCGTAGTACTAAAAGCCACGAAGCCCATAGCTTTGCTCACACTTCCCGTCAGTAACCCATCATCGACCCATGCCTTGGCCTTCTATGCTCCACGATCGCCGCCGCGCTCTCTCTCGCTCGCCGCGCTCTCAAGAGCGATTTCTGAGGAACATGGTCATCATTATGCCAACTTCCGGCTGCGGCCGCCGCATTGGGCTTGTCTCGCTGCTGGCGACTCTGATGATCGTAGCAGGTGAGAACTTTGATTAAAGGAGTTAATAGTAATCGTAATCAGCGTCGTTGCAGGTGAATTGCCGTTCCAAGTCATAGCAGCGCAGCCAATGATCGCTGCTGCTGCTGACTGTCGCCGACGATGGTCGGTGCTGATGATGATGCGGTCGTGGTGATAGTCGCCCACCCATGATCGTGATCGTCGCCCGGCGATGGTGATCATCGCCAGTGATGAGCCACGCACATGGTTCTCGTGATAGTTGCTGCCGTCAACTGAGAATAACCGTCGCCATCGTCGCTGGTGAGGGTCATCGCTGGTGAGGGTCGTCGCTGGTGACAATCGCCGCAATGACTCCTCTTCTGCCGCCTGTCTTTCCTTCCTCCGCCCCAACCGAGTTGCATTCACCAGACAGAGGCTGATCGTCTGATTGCCACTACTATGCCTTTCTTCTGGTTGTCAAGATCATTCCTTCCTTCACCAGGCAGAGGCTGATCTTCTGATCTCTATCTCCGACTCCCCTCTCCTCCCTCTACCCTCTCTCTCCTCTCCTCTCCTCCCCTCCCCTGTCCCTCCAGCCTCCATGCCTCACGCCAAGGCTCTTGTCCTGCCACCAGCCTGTCCTCAGGGGAAAGTGTGGAACGCCGACGTGCAAGTCTGTGTCTGTGAGTTGATGCACTCTGCTGCCGCCACTCCTGCTGCTGCCGCTGCTGCTGCCGCCATTGCCGCTGTTGCTGTCGGCACCATTGCTGCTATTGCTGCTGCCGTCTCAATCTATCCTGCAAGATCTCTCTCCCTGCTGTAGATCCTTCAGAGAGCAACAACCCTAGCCAGGCCTGCTCTAGCACCACCTTGTTCTCTTGCCTCTCTCTCACCCGCCCAATCCTCTGCGCCCGTCTACCCCCTGCGCTGTGCTCCTCTGTGCCGTGCCTCCACCAGCCACGTGCCGCATTGCCAAGGGATGCCCGTCCAATTACTGCGACAACGGACTCTGCTTGTGCCGGCCTGGTCTAGTCATGCTCCCCGATGGAAGATGTGCCAGTGAGTGACTATGTTGATGGCTGGTGTGATGTGAGTGACTATGTTGAGGGTGCTTTCTCATGATACATGCCCCGTGCCCGTGTCCCGTGATACTATATTCCATGCCCTATGCCCCATGCTTCGTGCCTCATGGCCCTTGCCCCATGCCCCATGCACCATGCACCATGCCCCGTGCCCCATGCATGCACCATGCCCCGTGCCCCATGCAGCATTAACACGCTAGGTATCCCGCTTTACTAACAAGCTCCTGCCCCACTTGTTCAAACTGCCTCCATCTCTCTTCCCAGATTCCTGTGATGGTGTGGAGTGCGGTCCCGACTCTTCTTGCAACTCCGACGCTGAATGCATTTGCAACCCCGGCTATAACACGCTACCTGATGGCACTTGCACTGGTGCGTGTTCCCCCTCTCCCTCTCTCTCCCTCTCTCCCTCTACCCCCTTCCCTCTGGAGGGGGAAAATGCTCACGTTGGGACTTGACGTGTCACTCACTCACTCTCGCACTCTGTCTGTCTGTCCCACGCTCTGGCACTAGATTTCTGCTCAAATTCTCTCCTTTTCTCTTCCCCCGCTCTCCCCCTCCCCCGTCCCAACCCCCCTCTCTCTCTCACTCTCTTTCTCTCTCCTTCCCTCCACACTCTCACTCCCTCTGACCTTACCATGTACCAGAATCGTGCAGCATCAAGACGTGTGGCGCTGGGGAAGAGTGTCTGGATTTCAGCGGCGACAACGGCGAGTCGGTCTGCAGATGCCTCGATGGATACGTTGGGGAGCCTGGATCTTGTCTTGGTACGTAGTGTGCATATTGATGCCCCTCGCCCCCTCTCCCGCACTCTCTCTCACGATTTCTTGCCCAACATGCGCCCTGGTAGGGAACTCGCCTCTTCCGCCTCTTCCACCTTCTTTTCCCCCCGCTCTCCCTCTCCCCCGTCCCAACCCCCCTCTCTCTCTCTCTCCTCCCCTCCACACTCTCACTCCCCCTGACCAATGACCATTTACCAGAATCGTGCAGCATCAAGACGTGTGGCGCTGGGGAAGAGTGTCTGGATTTCAGCGGCGACAACGGCGAGTCGGTCTGCAGATGCCTCGATGGATACGTTGGGGAGCCTGGATCTTGTCTTGGTACGTAGTGTGCATATTGATGCCCCTCGCCCCCTCTCCCGCACTCTCTCTCACGATTTCTTGCCCAACATGCGCCCTGGTAGGGAACTCGCCTCTTCCGCCTCTTCCACCTTCTTTTCCCCCCGCTCTCCCTCTCCCCCGTCCCAACCCCCCTCTCTCTCTCTCTCTCTCTCTCTCCTCCTCTCCACACTCTCACTCCCCCCCCTGACCAATGACCATTTACCAGAATCGTGCAGCATCAAGACGTGTGGCGCCGGGGAGGAGTGTCTGGAATTTGGTGGCGTCAACGGCGAGTCAGTCTGCAGATGCCTCGATGGATACAGTGGGGAGCCCGGATCGTGTGTTGGTACGTAGTGTGCTTTTCTGTCTGCATATTTGCCCCTCGCCCCCTCTCCTGCACTCTCTCTCACGCTTTCTTGCCAGCAACATGCGCCCTGGTAGGGAACTCGCCTCTTCCACCTTTCAACCACTCGTCCGCTCTATCTTATCTACACCCGTTCGTCCCCTCCATCCGCCAGAAACCTGCTACGTCACAGGCTGTGGCGAAAATGAGGAATGTGATAACAACGGAGGGCTTTACGAATGCACATGCAAGGATGGGTGCACGCGGAAAATGGATCGTGTTCTTTCACACCCCCTCTCTTAGTTCTTTGAATCCCAAGTCTAAACTCTCCTCTGCAAACTCCTTTTTCAAACTGCCTCCGTTTCCCCTCCCAGATCTCTGCGATCGCATAAACTGTGGCACCAACTCTTTCTGCAAGGCGGGTATATGCGGGTGCAACGACAACTACGTCATTTCGCCATTTGGCAATTGCACTGGTGCGTGCTCGCTCTCTCGCTGTCAAGAACAATCACTGATCGCCTATCCCGGGGCACTAGACCCAGGGGGCTCAACCACATAAAGGACCTGCTCAAAGCTATGGAACTGAGAGACCAAGCTATGGGACTGGGCCATGAGACTGGCCCCGGCGTCACCTGGCGTAACTTCGACTGGAGGACGACGGCTTGCTGCCTCTCTGGCGCATGCCAGACCACCAGCGGCTGCTGCCTATGATCAGTACATAGGACGGAGGGAGAAGGATCATCGGCGCAACCCTGCGCAGAAGGACCAAAGGAACTCGCCTATCAGAAGAGCGGCACACTTCCTCATCCCCCCCGTGCCTTGAGTGAGAGTCATGCTTGCAATCCAGCTGCCCTCACTGCCTCTCCGTTGCTGCCTCCCGTGCCTTTCCCTCCCTTCGCTTCCCCTTCCCCCTCCCTTCCCCTCAGAGCCATGCGCTGTGGACAACTGCGGAACGAATGCCTTGTGTTTCCTGAATGCATCAGGGAGTGACACGTGTGCCTGCAAGGATGGGTACACCAGGACTCCCAGTGATGCCTGCATGGGTGAGTGTTGCTGCAGTCGCTGCATGGCTGGCTGATGTGCCTGTCACCTGTGGCACAGGGTAAGTGCCTGCCTTGTTCATGCTGTTGTCTTATACCTCACCCGTTCCGTTCGTTTCAACTTCCAACCTCTCCCTCCCTCCCTCCTTCGCCCTCTCCTTTCCTCTCTCCTCCACCCAACTTCCCATCCTGATCGCTCACACTCTTTAAAATCCTCCCTTGTTGACCCTGAGGCCCCGCTTTCTCTTGCGGATCCGCCCTATCTCTCGCTTATGTCTTCCTCTTTGATCTTCCTTCCAGACTCGTGCGTTGTGAAGGGATGTGGTGCCAACACCACGTGTGTCAAGGGCAAGCGTGACCTGGCATTATGCATCTGCAATCAGGGCTTCAGAAATGTGTCCGGGGAATGCATTGGTACGTAAATTAGAATGCTGGCTGCGTGTCTCCCTATTTCTGCAGGAAGGCAAGTGCGCAAGGCAAACTTGCTACGCCTTTTCTAAAATACCTTGCCAGTGGTGCATAATATGGTTTTTATAACTTCAGATAAGGGCATTGGTATTTTACAGGTGGGGATAATATGTTTGGGAAATGCATTATTAATGTACAGTTTTTATCTTGGCTTGGTTCGAGAATATTCATCATCATTGTCTTTCGCCCTTACCCCTCACTTTCCCTGCTTGATCAATCTTGCATGATCATTCTCTTTCTATACATCTATTATCCCAAAATCTCATATCACTTGCAACCGTTTTCTCATTGTCCTCACCCTCCTTCACGTTCTTTCTTATCATTGCCACCCCTCCCGTCAGATGTATGCGAACTCTGTGATTCCCATGCTACATGTGAGACGGACCAGCGAAGTGGAGATAAAACCTGCCGTTGCAACGACGGTTACTACATGCTACCGAATAACACCTGTGCTGGTGCGTATATTTGGCCTCCTTCACTTTACCCCATCCCCAATACTCGCTCTTGGTCTCACCACCCCTCACCTCCTTTAGCAATGGAATCACCCCTTACCCTCCCTCCTCCCCCCTCTCTCAAATGGTCCTGTGTTTGAACGCACAACCGCCGCTCCCCCCTCTCCATTCTGCCTCCCCCCTTCCCCCCCCCCTCTCCCCATGATCCCTCTCTCTTCCTTCCATTCCTTCGCCAGCAACATGCATCGCCACGGGCTGTGACTTGGGTTCTAGCTGCGTTGGAGACGTTGCTCAAGACATGTATTGCGCTGGTACGTGACATTTCGAGACGTTTTAGGGCGGTTGGTTGGAATGGCTCTACTTCATCCTCTTTCTCGTGCATTTTCTTGCCCGCCTTCCTCTTTCCGTTCCGTTCCATGCTTGGCAAGTTGGCATCATTAATACTTGTAGAGCATCTGACCTTTTGGATTTTGAGAGTAAAAAATTCACACAAAATGCATTTCCCCCATGCCGTGCATTTCCTGATAGTACCGTGAGATAGAGCTTTGGGGTGGTCGAATACCTCCCTTCCTTCTCAAACTTACTTGCGTTTTTCCAACTGTTTGTTTTTTGAATCCTCCCTGTCAGATAATTGCAATTTCAAGGGATGCCACGACTCGGCTATGTGTGTCAAGGACGCTGTATCTGGAAAGGCATCCTGCCAGTGCAGCGCAGGCTTCACCATGCAATCTGATGGAAGTTGCAAAGGTGTGTATTGGTGGTTTCCTTTGCTTCACGTGACGCCTACTTGGTGCTTCCTCCCTCCCTAACCCTCGGTAAGAGACAGATCACAAGTGTTGTTTTGTGGCTCCTCAAAGCTGTCGAGAGATTGCGACCAAATCTGCCTTTTGTGTCGGTACTTAGCATACCTCTTCATTGATGTTGCACTAAATTATCTTACCTCTTATCCCCTTCCTATCTACCCCTCTCTCATCCCCGTTTCTCGCCATCTTCCCCCGATTTGCACTCTCTTCACCTCTCTTCACCTCTCCACCTTTCTCCCTTTTTATGTCCTCCATCCCTCTTTCAGATGACTGCGAGAGTAAGGCCTGTGGTGAGCGAGGAGTGTGCGAGCATGACCCTGTCACTTTGGAAGCCACCTGCATTTGCTTTATGGACGGCACCGTCTTGCTGCCAAATGGGACTTGCATCGGTGCGTACATGATCTCCCTCGCTCTCTCTTCCCCCCTCCCCTTCACTCCCCCCTCTCTACGTATTCAAGAAGCTTCATTGATGTGCCATAGCTATAATGGATAACTCTCCCCCTCTCTATCTCTCCCGTCCTCTCTCCACCAATCATCTGCCAGATAAGTGCTGGGCAAGGTGGTGCTGGCCCCCATCCGTTTGTCGTGACGATATTACCTGCACATGTGGCGACAACATGATTGGCGAGCCTGGATCTTGTCTCAGTACGTTGTGTATGGGAGTACAGGAAATGGTTGAGCAACGAACCATCCATCCATCCAGAAACATGCGATCACCCACAACGTACCGGAAATCTTCCGACGGAGCAAGTAGTGTTTTCCCCACTACTCCCACAATTTGCAGTCGTCCACTTTTCCGCCATCTCAACTCCATACAATAAACTTGTTTTTAACTTCTGAGATTTCATTGCTCAGTCCAAACCAAACTGCATGCTGACATGTGCAATGTCAACAACTGAACGTTTCCCCTCCCTCTCTCCTGCATACCCCCTCTCTCCTGCATACCCCCTCTCTCCTGCATACCCCCTCTCTCCTGCATACCCCCTCTCTCCTGCATACCCCCTCTCTCCTGCATACCCCCTCTCTCCTGCATACCCCCTCTCTCCTGCATACCCCCTCTCTCCTGCATACCCCCTCTCTCCTGCATACCTCCTCTCTCCTGCATACCCCCTCTCTCCTGCATACCCCTCTCTCCTGCATACCCCCTCTCTCCTGCATACCCCCTCTCTCCTGCATACCCCCTCTCTCCTGCATACCCCCTCTCTCCTGCATACCCCCTCTCTCCTGCATACCCCCTCTCTCCTGCATACCCCCTCTCTCCTGCATACCCCCTCTCTCCTGCATACCCCCTCTCTCCTGCATACCCCCTCTCTCCTGCATACCCCCTCTCTCCTGCATACCCCCTCTCTCCTGCATACCCCCTCTCGTGCCATCCATCCGCCAGTGACATGCGATCACCCAGACGTGAATTGCAGCTTTGAAGAAGAATGTATACCTCAAAGCATCGAGAAGCGGACCCATGCTAAATGCGTGTGCAAGGATGGATACCTTCGCACACACTCAGGCATTTGTGCCCGTACGTATGCTCTTTTTCATTCTTGCAATTCTCTCTTCGTTCCTCTCAAGCGGTCATGTTTTAGAATAGGCAAAGGTGTACAAGCCTTAGCAAGGTAAGGCCGATGTAGCTAGACAACAAGAAGCAAGTCATATGGCATACACAAGAATACATAGAATGCCCCCGAGCAACACCCCCTACCACCCCCCACTCATTGCTCTTTTGCTACCCCCGCTGAGACTCTCGCTCCTCCGTGTCACCCTTCACATCCTCGGTCTGCCGAGACTGTGCCGTAGTGGCCTTTGATAGGAGAGATTTGAGAACCCCCCCCCCCCCCCCCCCCCCCCCCCGCCTTCTCTCTCTTTCTCTCTCTCCCTCTCCCTCTCTGTCTACCTTTGCACATTCCCATCTCCCACATACCCCCTCTCACCAACCATCTGCCAGCCACATGCAAACTTCTGGGCGATCCGTCCAGTGTATATTGGTGTGGTATTGACGAAGAATGTCGTGACGACCTCCCCAACGGGATCGCTGGAACCTGCGACTGTAGGGTTGGATACAATCGCTACGACGGACTGTGTGTTGGTAAGTTTGTACATACGCATGTGCTGTCCTTTGTGCTGGTACGTACGTATGTTTGTGCTGTCCTCCATTTTCACCATCTTCATCTCTCCCCTCCTACTTCACCTCTCTCTTGAGGCTCATCTGCAGTAGCATGTGAAGTCACGCAGCGTTGTGAATGAGGTTTGTGTGGATTACGGAATAATCTGCTTGCGTGTGCAGATTACGGAATAATCTGCTTGCGTGTGTGGATTACGCACGTATGTGCGTGTGCTTGCACAATAGCACAGCTTAATCTGTGTAATCAGGGGAATTTTGATGATTCTGTCAAGCCAATCCCATGAATAATTACCATTCCCCCTGCTGGATCGCCTCTGTTGATCCGTGGCAGTGTGGTGGGTGTCTCATCCTGCATGCCTCACCTGCTTACACACTCCTGTTTTCTCTCTATCTCTGTCCAGAGTTTCTTCATGACAATTGCACTGCTGACAACTGTGGTAACGGCAATTGCGTTGAGCAAAGGCAGTGGTGGTGGTGGACCACCAATCCGCCCTCTCAGTACTGCAAGTGCAACGATGGTTACACACCGGATCCAGTCTCAGGAAATTGCACAGGTACGTGCAATGGATTTGAAAGGACCCGCGTCAGTTCTTCCCCTATGTTTCCCTATGTACCCCGTTATCCCCTTTTTTATTTCTCTTAATCTGAGGCATTGCCACCAAGCTTTGTTGGCCTTTTGGTGTTTAACCATATGAACCCTTCAAACTCCCCATCTCCCCTTCCCCGCCCACCTCCTCTCCCTCTCCCTCCCCTCCCCTCTCTCCCTCTCATCATACTCAATCTTCACCATCCATCTGCCAGTATCATGCCCGGCCATGCCCTGTCCATATGGATATCTTTGTGACACATCTGGACTCTATCCGGTCTGTAAGAAAGGTGCGCTCGCTCGCCAACTTACACACATTCCATCCAATCATCGTCCCTACTCATCATCACCTTCCTTGCTGGAAAATCCTGCTCGCTTCAGTTGGGGAGTGGTGGGAATGGCTGCGCTTGGTGGCCATGAGGAAGGCTAGGTGAAGGTGCTTATCTAGCCACCGTTGGTCACATTGCTGACACGTGGGGAGCAGTCACGTGGCAGTTGTGGCTCTTGTAGACGATTGCTGGTGGTTGAGAGAAGGTAGATAGATTTCTTGCTTTCATTCTGTTGCTGATTTGTACCTGTACCTTTCTGTGCCTTTCTGTACCTTTTTATCCTTCTTGAATTCTGTTGCAGTTAACTGCCCGGCTAACTGTCCTCGTGACTGTGTTTGGAACTCCCAAAAGAGCATCCAAGCTTGCCCAAGTATGTGCTGATGGTCTCATTTTCTTCACCCGTTGCCTTCCCTTTATCATCCACTTGTGCACATTCCACTCCCTGACCCCGTCTCCCCTCTCCTGATGTCCTCTTTCTATCGTTTTGCTCCTTCCTGCATTTCCCTTCTCCACTTCGCTGCCTCACTCGCGTGGCTGACCCACGTATTCATCCCTTCCTGCTCCATGTCACATCCACACCAGCACGCCTCCTGCCAAAGGTCATTGCATTAGTGGCGATGTAGGTTGCTTTCTCTCCCCTCTTCCCCTCTTCCCATCTTCCCCTCTCCCCCTCTCCCCCTCTTCCCCTCTTCCCCTCTTCCCATCTTCCCCTCTTCCCATCTTCCCCCTCTCCCCTCTTCCCCTCTTCCCATCCCCCTCTTCCCATCTCCTGTCTCCCTCCATCCATCCAACAGACACCTGTGAAGCCATGAATTGTGGACCATTGGAAGAATGTGCGATGGTAGGAGGTGTACCAACGTGTAAATGCAGGAGTGGATATGTCGGCCAGGCGGGATCTTGTGCTGGTATGTGGTGTGCTTGTTCTTTACTCACATGTGTTCTTTGCCTTTCCTTCTCTCCCTCCTATGCAATGCATCTCTGATTGATATTTCTCTCTTTTGTTGTCACTCGTATCGCTGCCTATCTTGCTCGTTTGTCATAACCTCTCTGTCATGCTCTCTCCTCATCCTCTGTCTCATTCTCCCACTTCTCCCTATCAATCATCAAATCCATCTTGCAGCAACATGCAAAGCTCTGTATTGTCCCCCTAACCAACACTGTGTGGAGAAAGTCCCTGGAGGCGCTGGGACTTGCGAATGCATGCCAGGATACGTTGCGCGAGGCAAATACTGTGATGGTATGTAGTATGTTTGGCTTTCCATTCCTCTTATTTTTTCCCTCTCACTTTCCTTGCATATTCTCTCTCTTTCCGTCTTATTACCCTCCTTCCTCTACCACCGTCCCTTCCCCTGCCTCACCTCACTATCCCTCACCACCTCTCTCGTTCTCCCCTCTCTCCACTTACCAGCAACCTGCGCAGTCTATGAATGCGGTGAAAATGAAGAATGCGAGATGGTGAACCTCAGACCAACGTGCAAGTGCAAGCCAGGATATCTTGGGGGCGCTGGATGGTGCAAGCGTATGTGCTTCTCCTCTTCTCTCTAACGGCCTTCTCTCTAACGGCCTTCTCTCTCTCTCTCTCTCTCTCTCTCTCTCTCTCACACACACACACACACACACACACACTTGGTTTCGGTATCGATGCCCATGCAAACCCAAACCACTTGAGGTGGGCAAGGTAGCAACTCAGATCAATCATGGTATAGGGTTTGAGGTTTGGGGTTAGGTCACATGGCCCATGGAGGCATCACAACAGACTGCAACATGAAAACACCCTTGATTGTCAGGGTCTTGTCTGAGGAACCCAGAGGGATTTCCGCCTTTGTTACTGCATAGAGCTTGCTGAGGTGGCTGATGGCTTGATGAGGTGGCTGGTGGCTTGAAACAAATTCTGTTTGTTTTATGTATTCTCTCAAACACTGCTTTCTTGTTAATCATTTTCACTTCGTCGCCCTTTTCCTGCCAAACTTCCCCCCCTCCCCCGTCTTTCCCTCTCTCCCTCCCTCTCTCCCTCTCTCCCCCCCTCTCTCTCCCTCTCCCTCTCCCCCCATTAACCCCTCCCACCATCTGCCAGCACCGTGCTCAATACGAGTCTGTGGTCTCAACGAGGAGTGTGTGGAGCGAGATGACATGTCATACTGTCAATGCAAGTTTGGATACAAGCGCGTTTCTTCTCACACCTGCGCGCGTACGTAGCCTGTCACCTTCACACACACGCTCTCTGTATTATGTATGCAAAAGGGTGTACAAGATAGTGTAGAGAGCACGATACAGAAGGAGAGGAGCCCGTCCTGTGATTCGGAGGTTGTTTGTAGCCCATCTATCTTTGTTGACAAGCCATGCAAAAAACCCTGCTTATGGATGCCATGATTAGCAGTGGTGTTTTGCCAGCACTCTTTCCTCAGCCGCCTTTCCCCCCTTCCCCCTCCCCCCTTTCTATCTCTCTCTCTCTCTCTCTCTCTCTCTCTCTCTCTCTCTCTCTCTCTCTCTCTCTCTCCCCATCCTTCTCTCTCTCTCTCTCTCTCTCTCTCTCTCTCTCTCTCTCTCTCTCCTCCCCATCCTTCTCTCTCTCTCTCTTCCTCCCCATCCTTCTCTCTCTCTCTCTTCCTCCCCATCCTTCTCTCTCTCTCTCTTCCTCCCCATCCTTCTCTCTCTCTCTTCTCCCATCCTTCTCTCTCTCTCTCTCTTCTCCCATCCTTCTCTCTCTCTCTCTTCCTCCCCATCCTTCTCTCTCTCTCTCTTCCTCCCCATCCTTCTCTCTCTCTCTCTTCCTCCCCATCCTTCTCTCTCTCTCTCTTCCTCCCCATCCTTCTCTCTCTCTCTCTTCCTCCCCATCCTTCTCTCTCTCTCTCTTCCTCCCCATCCTTCTCTCTCTCTCTCTTCCTCCCCATCCTTCTCTCTCTCTCTCTTCCTCCCCATCCTTCTCTCTCTCTCTCTCTTCCTCCCCATCCTTCTCTCTCTCTCTCTCTTCCTCCCCATCCTTCTCTCTCTCTCTCTTCCTCCCCATCCTTCTCTCTCTCTCTCTTCCTCCCCATCCTTCTCTCTCTCTCTCTTCCTCCCCATCCTTCTCTCTCTCTCTTCCTCCCCATCCTTCTCTCTCTCTCTCTTCCTCCCATCCTTCTCTCTCTCTCTCTTCCTCCCCATCCTTCTCTCTCTCTCTCTTCCTCCCCATCCTTCTCTCTCTCTCTCTTCCTCCCCATCCTTCTCTCTCTCTCTCTTCCTCCCCATCCTTCTCTCTCTCTCTTCCTCCCCATCCTTCTCTCCCTCGCTGATGAATTCTCCTACTGCCAGCGCAATGCATATTCACGAAGTGTGGACCCTTCGAACTTTGCAAAGAAACGGATCACGGGGGACAATGCGTTTGCAGGGAGCCCGAATACACAGGCGCGCCGCCGAATTGTCAAGGTATGTGTGTCTTTGTCTGCCTCACATTCTTCCTGCACGCTCATGCTGTCTTAATTTGAATGGATCCACCCATCTCTCTACATGGTCTGTCCAGCTCTTTGTACGCGACTCTCAAAACTACTACAAAGGGTTGAGGGCGCATGTACCCCACATGGCGTACATGGCGTACCCCACTCTCAAATATACTTTCCATTCTCCCTCGCATCTGCCAGGAACATGCGCCTCCGACCCTTGTAATAGCGAATCTGAAGTATGTGTCGACACGAGTGGTGGCGCAGTCTGTAAATGTGCACCAGGATATGTACTGCACAATGGCATTTGCACAGGTGCGTACTGTGCTTGTTTGTTAAATTCCTCCATTTCTGCAAAGCACTCATGTTCACTTTCATTTCCTGTTATAGTAGTTCACTTTCCTCGCCCTCTCCCCCTCCTGTCTCTCTTTCTCTCTTCTCTCTCCCTCTCTCTCTCCCTCTCTCACTCTCTCTCCCCCTTCTCTCTCTCTCCAGGAACATGCGCAGTCATTCGTTGTGGTTCCGGTGAAGTATGTATGAATATCGGTGGAATTGGAACTTGTAAGTGCAATCTGCCACCCTACAATTGCGCATTCGCTCTTTATGTCCTCTCTCCCCCCCCTCTCTCTCGCCCTCCCTCTCGCCCCTTCTCTCTCTCTCCCTCGCCCCCTCTCTTGCCCCTTCTCCCTCTCTCGCCCCCCCTCTCTCGCCTATTCTCCCTCTCTCTCGCCCTTTTCTTGCACCTTCTCCTCTCTCGCCCCCTCTCTCTCCCTCTCTTCCTCCCCAGGGCTAGTAGCACCATACCTTGTTTCTTACCAAATCTATGGTCCTGACTCCTAAGGGCTTCGTACCTATTGGTGTTGCAACTTCCTTGCAGGCCCAAGCACGCTCGAGTGTCTCATGGTGCACTGCCGGAGCTCTGCCTGGTTATCCGTGGTGGACTGCAGCACGTGTCTTACTGCTGCCAACGTAGATTACACCCGTAAACAAGGGGGCATTGAATACTGGGCTCCGTAATAGGTACGTGCGATTGGAAGTACATAACCTGTTTCCCTCCCCCCCCCTCCTCCCCTCTCCTCTCTCCACCCTCACCCCTTCTCTCTCACCCCTTCCTTTCCCCTCCCCCCTGTTTCGTACCATCTATCTCCCACATGCCGCCACCAATTTCCCTTTCTCCCCCACCTTTTCCTCCACACACTTCAATCTCTTTGCCCTTTTACTTACCTCGTGTTCTATCATCAGGACTCTTATACGTGTATCTTGCTGTGCTGGTTCTGTGGCCCATTTTCTGCCATTCATTGTCCTTTGTATGCAGGAGTGCGAGCTTGAGTTTGCTGGGCCCTTCCTGGGAAAGGTGTGGCTGAAGGGCGGCATAATGAAGACCTCGAGTCAAGTTGAAGGAAAGAAGTGAAGGTGCACCAGCAGGAGAAAGAAGAGAGCTTTCATGGTCCACAGGGGGCCCAAAATCTTCGGGAGGCCAATACCTTTTGACTCGTTGGTTTCATTCCCTCCTTTGGGGTGTGCATGCTTTCATGGTCCACAGGGGGCCCAAAATCTTCGGGAGGCCAATACCTTTTGACTCGTTGGTTTCATTCCCTCCTTTGGGGTGTGCATCAGAGTAGTATCGTTTCTGTGTTTTAGTGGGCTGTTTTCTAGTTTGGTGGGCTGTTTACAGGTTTTTGGTTGGCCGAACATCTTTCCTTTCTTTTGAGTGTGAAACAACCTTGGTGGGCTGTTACTTTTATTCTTTTTGTATATGTCTGTCGGTTTGTTTTTATATACCAATTTGGTGGGCTGAACATCGTCCTTTGTTTTGTTCTTGAGGTGTTTGACAGCACTGCATCTGCATGACACAGAAGGCATGATTAAAACTATGGTGCAGGCAGGGTATGGGTACCGTACAGGCCCTACGATATCAGGAATTTTCCCCTGAAATTCCTGATTTTCAGCCTAGTTTTGTGTACCTACACTGAATTTTCAGTGTTGAGATTTTTGTGACACTGATTTTTTCAGCCTTTACTTCATAGCTAACACTGATGTTTCAGACTTTTATCGAAGTGTACACTGAATGCACATTCCGAATCCTTCCCGTAAAACACCCGAGACAATAAGTCACCAACATTTCCACATAATAAAATCTTGTTTAAAAAAATACTGATTGCTGACCCGATGAACGCTTAGTGGTAAGCGAAGTAGATACCGAATGGTAAGGTTTCCGGTTCAAATCCCTCTACTAACATGTTCATAAAGCTACTCGGTTTCCGGTTCAAATCCCTCTACTAACATGTTCATAAAAGCTACTCTCTTGCACAATTGCATGATGTGATTGAAAAATTCAGGCTTTTGTTTTCGGAACCCTGAAAATTCAGGCTTTTTTTTAGGAACCCTGAAAATTCAGGCTTTTTTTCACAAAGACCCTGATGCATCAACGTCCCTAAAAGTGAATCTGAGGGCCTGGTACCGTAATACAGTAATGAGCCAGGTCGGGGCTAGGATTCTAGCTTATCTGATTGACAGCCCTCTCTCTCTCTCTCTCTCTCTCTCTCTCTCTCTCAGTCTCTCTCATCTCTCTCTCTCTCTCTCATCTCTCTCTCTCTCTCTTCCTCCCCATCCTTCTCTCTCTCTCTCTCTCTCTCTCTCTCTCTCTCTCTCTCTTCCTCCCCATCCTTCTCTCTCTCTCTCTCTCTCTCTCTCTCTCTCTCTCTCTCGTCGTCTCTCTCATCTCCTCTCTCTCCTCTCTCTCTCTCTCTCTTCTCTCTCTCTCTTCCTCCCCATCCTTCTCTCTCTCTCTCTCTCTCTCTCTCTCTCTCTCTCTCTCTCT